TTAAACTTAGTTACTATTGAGTGGCGTTAATTATTTCTCTGCTGCAGTTTATTACGAAGCGGACCTAATGTTAATAAAATAACAACAGCGCCATAAATAAATACTAATAAAAAATTATTTACATTTTCTGGACGTGAGTAAGATTTTAAGATTAATAAAAAGATAATTATTATAAAATTAATTTTTTTTGGCCTTGTGTAACTTCCTAAAATTTAAATATGTCATTATTTGCCTTCTATCCCTCAAAAGTTAAACTTATGGAGCGATAATAACAAAAAATATTGTATGTCATTCGGCCGTTTAGTGGCGATTTTGACAACGACTTTTTTTCGATATTCGCTTTAATGTTTGTGACGCGAATGTTCGAAAACGAGCGTAAATTTCCATCCTCGGCTACGCCTCGGACGTTAAAATTACGCCCGTTTCGAACCTTCCCGCCACAAACTTTAAGCTCATATCGAAATATCGTCGCTGTCAGAAAACCGCCACTTTACGGCCTTATGACATAAATATCTATTTTACAAATAATGGATTAAATTTTAATAAAATAATTTTTTTTTAATTAATTTTTGTTTTAAGAATTATTATTTTTCTTAAAAATTATAGATTACATTTTTTATTAATAATTTTTTTTTGTTTTAAAATTAATAAAAAATCATTTTTTAAATAAACTTTGCTTTAAAATTAATTAAAAATTTTTTTTTTACAATTTTTAGTTTAAAAATTATTATTTATAATTAATAAAAAAAGTTTTATAAATTTTTAATAAAAAATAATAAAAAAATGTTTTGATACAGAAAACCAATTCAACCTGAGTACAAAAGCAAGCCCAATGAACATACCAATGAAACCAATGAGGCCGCCGATGCGTTCCTCTATAGAAGGTTTAAACCAAGAAATCGAAGGACTGGTATTAAAATCAACATCCAACACTAATGAAGAGCATTCTGTCGAAGATAAGGTAGTTAATAGTAATTAAAACAATTTATCTGACTAATTGGACAAAATAATTAAATGATAAACTTGTTAATTTAACAGTACGCGAGATACCGGGAACAAATAACTCCAGAAGGTCACCGAGCACCTCTGGCAGATCTCCTAAGACAAACCAGGAGTGTGAACACGCAGACGCCGGCAACAGACCTTCCCTCCAGTTCGTATTCTTCAGGTAATTGTCACCTCTCATACTCATATACTATTCTCCGGGCGTTAGACACATAATAATACCCCTCTCTCTCTTTCACTATTACTCTTTATATCTCCTCTGTCTATACTACCCCAAAGCAACATTTACGTATTTCATACACCATCGATCCAAAACACTCAGTTACGTAAATTATCCTCGCTGTTTAATGTCACACGTGTCATGAGACATCTCAGACGTTTAATACTCTCATACTCTTCATATCTTCTCTACCTCCTTCCTTAACACTCTTCATCTTCATTTCACTACAGTAGATTTTATTTATTTAATGTCATTGACCATAATGACCTCGCTCTTTAAATTTTTTTAATTTGGGGTCATTAAATTAATTCTACTCTAAAAATTACTAACTAAATTTTTACCAAAATTAAAAATTTTAATTTTAAATCTCACGGCAAAAATATTGGTCCTAAAAAAATTTTTTTAAACAAAAATTGTTCAAAATTAAATTTTATAAAAAAAAATGTCTTATGATTTTTTATACGACCAATATTTTCGCTTTAATATAAAAAAATTTTACACTATTAATTTGAGGCAAAAATTAATATTTAATAATAATTGTAAATGCATGTCTCGCGATTATTAAATAACTAACTAATAAACGGATGATGCGACTTGTATTGCAAACATACAGGCCCTCCATCTAGGAATTCTGAGTCACCGTTGATACCAGGTCTTATGGATACTTCTCGTCCACCTAGTGATCTTCCTCAAGGTTCGCTCGATCCTCCAATTCATCGCTTTTCTTTGCATGATTTTTTTTTATTTATTTTCACAGATTGCATGTGTAAAAATTACAGATATGTTTAATTAATGTATTTATTTTAGTTATAAAAATTTGGATGTATTTGCGTAGTTTTCTGGCTACTGTACTTTGATAAGAGTATTACTAATTAATTTTTTTTTTATCAGGTGGAAGTCGCGGATCAACTCCGGAACAAGAGAGAGAAGGACGTTTGGGTACGTCACCACACATCAATAGGTTCCTTGCACGAGAACCTCCTGATGGTTGCGAAAAAGTTAATACGAAATTCACCGAGGATGTTAGGTGTGTATAAAATAGTTATAAATATTCACATAATTTATTTTTAAATTTTATTTAATAATAATAATAATAATAACAATAACAAAATAAACTTTTCAGTTCATTATTATTATTATTATAAGCAAAATTTATTATAAGTATTTAGACTGGATTTGAAAATATCTCTAGATACATAATTAAGAAATGACCTTGTATCTTGTAAACCATTGACATTTTTAAAGATATAAGCTCATCCTGATGATACACTCATCAAGACCTTTCATTTGAGTACCCATATCAATTTTTCATATATTTTATATATTTATATATATTATATATATGTATATATGAAAAATATATAAAAAATGCATGTGGGTACTCAAATGAAAGGACTTTATGAGTGTAACATCGGGATGAGCTTATATCTTTAAAAACGTCAATATTCAAACAGTACAGTGCAATTTAATAAAAACGATAACAATAATAATAATGAATTAAAATTATTATTGAAGATAAAAATTTTATAAAAAAAATAATAATAATTTAACCTTGATTATTATGAATTGATAATAATAATAATAAAAAAACTTAATATTTAGACGACCGATGATTGATATCAGCAAGTTAGATTACTGCCCGAAGCCATGCGTTAATTTTCAATTGAAGCCAAGTTTGACGTCAGCTTTCCTGCCACTTCAGCAGCCGGCGAATTCAACATTGGTGACAAGCACCGTGTCATCATCATCGCACACGACGTCGGCAACACCACCACCTCCAAATCCATAGTCCCAACCCGTACCTAGCAGCCTTATCTGCGTCAACGTGAGTGGTTCATATTGTTTTATTATTTTATTCTACACGGTCAACTTACGGCGGATCATTAATTATTAAATAATCAATAATAATAATATTAATAAAAATAATAATTAATAATAATTATAGTTACAATAATACTAATAATAATAACATTAATAATTATAAGCAACAAGATTGAGAAACCTCGTAAGGTGACTGATTTGAATAAACTCTAAGCGTGCATGACTCTTTCATTGTGAAGTTACCCAAGGAAACCCAGTGCAAAAATTCATAATGAAAATTATATATATTTAAACAAAGTAAATATAATATTAATAATAATAACAATTATAAATAAGGAATTATTAAAAAGGAGTTGATTAATTACTTATTATTAATATTATTATATAAAATAAGTAATAAAATGATCGATTAAATTTTAATGACGAGTGATTAAGAAAACAATAAAAATTTCGATAGTTTTTTACAATAATATTTGGCTTAAAAAACTCTCCCAGCGGAACAAAGAAAATTCCGAGTTTAACCGAAGATTACCGAAGAAGATTTTTTGAAGTTACGCTTGAAACAAAGTGCGTTTACGGCAATAATTACAATGATTATAATTTTGTAATTAATCTATAAGCCCCAATTATTGACACTATAAGAGATAAAGTTATGATTTAATTTTTTTAAGCAATTAAATATCAATATCGTTGAATTTTGTTTGTGGTAATTTATCAAGTAATGTTTTTACTAATCAATTTCTTTTTTTAAAATGATAATCACTGATATTTACTAATTAATTTTAAATAATTAAATAGATTATCCGGAGACACCAATTATTGGCAGGTTAAAAAACTGATTGATCTAATTATTGACATACATTCGCCCCAATTATTGACACCTATACTAAGCATGCCTAGAATCATCTGCTTATTCTTATTTATCCAAACTTATTATTAAGTAATCAATTTTATTAAAGTTTATTAATAATAATTTCCATAAATGATTAATGACTTTAAAAAATATAAAAATTAATTTTAAAATAATTTATTTAATCAGACGAGTTCAAACTCTTACAGTTAATTTTTTTAAAGTCAAAAAAAGGTGTCAAAGCGCTGTCGAATGGCTATCAATATGAGATTCAACTTAAAAATTATCAACTAGTTATTGACACCCATTATTTAAATATTATAAAGGAAAAAATTAATTTCGATTATTCAATTTTATAAATTTTTCATATATTGTTAATTATGATATTATTAGATGAAGAAATGAATTTAAACGGCATTTAAAAAAATGCTTTTCTAATCAAAGTTGTTAAGAAAATAAACGTTCGTAAGCTGGTTTTAACTGGTGCTAACTTTTTTTTTTAATAATTAATATTTAATATTAACTGACAGTAATTTTTTTCAATTTTTTAATTAATTAGAATTTAATAAAAATTTATATAGTTATTCTTATTACAGATGATTTTATTTAAAAATAATTTAGGGTGTCAATATTTAGACCCCTGTCAATAATTGGGGCTTTTACTTTAAATAAATTATTTTCTTTGATTTTTTATACAAGAAAAAAATTTGGAAGTAAAAAAGAGCTCGGAAATGTTCAGCTGGGGAGTTTTATTAGCCAAATAAAAACAATATCAAGCAAACGGTGGATTCGATTGTCACGTGATGCGAAATTTGAAAAATTGAAGGCAAGCTTTTTATTTAAAAAGTACTGAATGGAAGAGTCTTGTTGAATATTAAATACAATAAATGCTAAAAAATATAATAAATAAAAATAAATAAAACAAAGTTTGTGGTACGAGGAATAATAATTTGTGATAATTGAAAACAACGTTTAGGAATAAACATTGTGTTCTTCAGGAAAAAAAGACTAATGATTAAAAAACTAATAAATAACAAATAAATCGTGTATTCTAAATTTAGCGCAGACTTGTGCTGAACAACTTTAGTTTTGTATACAAGGATTAAATTATTTAAGTATTAACATTTGAATGTTGGATTGAAGTAATAATAATAATAATGATAAAGTAAGTGGAGTGTACCAAGGTGTGCATAGATAATTAATTATTTATCAACAGATAATTGATAAAACTCTTTTCACAAAGCCTTCGATCACTTAAAATATTTAAAATTAATAACTTGACACTTGAATCAATCACTGGCAGTTTTTGTTATTAAGTTTTGTATTATTATTTTTTATCAATATATTTTATAAGTTTATTTGTTGGCGTTTAGCGTTTGTCGTTATATTATTGTTAAATTAATTACTAAAAATAATATTGAGCTTTGTTTTTTCGAGCAAGTCTAATGTAAAATTAACTAAAAGGGTCCAATGACAAAATTATTTATTTAAATAATTATTTTTAGACCATTGGGCTACCGTGGCTACCTGATTATTTTTTTTTTTTTATTATTTTTAAAATTAATTATTATCAAAATTTTAGCCTTAAATTCAAAATAATTATTAATGGTGTTGAATTTTTGAGATTATGGCGAAAATATTGGTCGTATAAAAAAAAATTGTTCAAAATTTAATTTTGTAAAAAAAAATGTGTGGTAATATTTTTAGGATCAATAAGAAAGCCGTAATTTTAAAATATGAATTTTAATTTTAAAATTACGGTAAAAATATTGAGGTAAAAGCCATAGTTATTGACACTATTGAAGACAAAGTTATGATTTGATTTTTTTTAAGCAATTAAATATCAATATCGTTGAATTTTATTTGTGGAAATGTCTCAAGTAATGTTTTTACTAATCAAATTTTTTAAAATGATAATTACTGATATTTACTAATTAATTTTAAATAATTAAATAGATTATCCGGAGACACCAATTATTGGCAGGCTAAAAAACTGATTGATCTAATTATTGACATACCTTCACCCCAATTATTGACACCTATACTAAGCATGCCTAGAATCATCTGCTTATTCTTATTTATCCAAACTTATTATTAAGTAATCAATTTTATTAAAGTTTATTAATAATAATTTCCATAAATGATTAATTACTTTTAAAAATATAAAAATTAATTTTAAAATAATTTATTTAATCAGAAGAGTTCAAACTCTTACAGTTAATTTTTTAGATTAAAGTCAAAAAAATGCGTCTTAACGCTGTCGAATGGCTGTCAATATGAGATTCAACTTAAAAATTATCAACTAGTTATTGACACCCATTATTTAAATATTATAAAGCATACAATTAATTTCGATTATTCAATTTTATAAATTTTTCATATGTTGTTAATTAAAAAAAAAAAAAGATGATATTATTAGATGAAGAAATGAATTTAAACAGCATTTAAAAAAAATGCTTTTCTAATCAAAGTTTTTAATTATTTTTTAATAATTAATATTTAATATTAAGTGACAGTAATTTTTTTCAATTTTTTAATTAATAAGAATTTAATAAAAATTTATATAGTTATTATTACAGATTATTTTATTTAAAAATAATTTAGGGTGTCAATATTTAGACCCCTGTCAATAATTGGGGCTTTTACCCAAGTCGTACAAAAAAATTTTAAAACATTTTTCTTTTCTAAAATCCGACTTGGAATTTTTTTATTGGATCAATATTTTCACCAAAATTTAAACCATTAATTTTTTTATTTAATTGTTTAATGTCATTATTGTCAAATATTTGTGGACACATGCAATGACAGGTCGACGGATCCCGGATTTATTTTTAATAATCCCAGAACAAATACATATTTATTATTTTTTATTATTTAATTTTGGTAATTATTAAGTTAACTATAAATTATAAAAAAAAAAAAAGATTAACATTGTTTAAATAAGTAATTAAGTTATTAAATTTGTATGTAGTAGCAAAGTGATAAGATTTCTGTAATCTAATCTTGTAATTTAATTTTCTTATTTTTTTTTTTACTAATTCTTAAATAATAATATTAATTTTATAAAAAAGAAAAAAATGTTAATAAAATTTTTTTTTTATTAGATTCAATTAACCACCGGTAGGATTCGAACCCTGCTCGCCTGCAATTCAATCTTGAGATTTTGTCACTCGGCTACAGCTAATTAATTTGAGTAAAAAGTACAAATCTGTACTTTTATTTTCGGTAATAAAAAATAATCAACAACTTAATATTTACCAAAAATTTTAATTATTAATTAATTGTGTTATAAAAAAAAAACATCCGCGAATAACGTTTAAAAAAAAAACTACCTCGTTGTCTGCCTTGCCTGCGAGTAAATATTTGGTAATTAATTTTATTTATTTAAAACGTTATTCGCGTGGATTTTAAAGTATGTAAAAAAATAATCTGTTATTTGGATGACTCCAAAAATGAATTTTTTTCAATCGGTGTTACAATTGTTAAAAAAATCTAACAAGTTCCGGGTCGGTACATTCTTACATATCTAATACTTATAAAGTAAAGATAATAAATAAATAAATCTGAGCAGGTTTCAGACAAATGGCAAGCGAGTATGTCAATTAAAGTAATATTATTTAATCCTAAGACTCACTAGGTCACTTTGTAAAAAAAGGTTTTTTATTTTTTTTTTTTTTATATATATCTACTGTATATATAACAGTATTACAGTAATTTGGATCTGAAGTGGCTTCATTTATTTTTTTATTTATTAATTATTAGACCTGTCGTTGTTGTGTAAAACAATAGACTGGCCGAAGCTTGTCTAATTTTTTTTATTTAAACTTTTTTTTTTTCACCCAAAATTATCTTTTAAAAAGTCAAAATTTAATAATAAGAAAATAATATTTTTATAGATTTTAATATTTAGACTTATTTTTTAAAAATTACTCACGCTTAAAGATGGATGCTTGCCATTGCACTGATTGTTTAAGGAAGATAACCTCACTTTTAAGACACTGAAGTTAACTGACATTTTTTTTTATTTTATATAAATAAATAAATAACGTTAGCCGATTTTAATTTTTTTTTTTTAATAGTTAAATTAGAACAAAAAAATATTTTTAATAAATTGCACTTATAGTTTTTGAAGTGTTTAAAACATGAAAAAAATTTTTTAGATGTCGGTTAACTTAATTTTCATTTAAGAAGATACTGAAGTTAGCTGACAAAAATATGAAAATTAAACTAGCCGACATTTAAAAATTTTTAGAATTTTTTTTTATTGAAAAAATGATTAAAAAAAAAATTTCACTTGTAAAAACTCACTTTTTGGTTTAATTTAATTATTAAAAAAAAATCAAAATGTCGGCTGACTTTAGTATTATGAAAAAAATTTTTTTATTGTTTTTTATTAATTAAATTATTTAAATTATTATTAACAAAAATTAATTGAAAAATTCCACATGTGCAAAATTAATAAAAATTACAAGTGACAATTTTTACAATCTTTTTTTATTGTAATTAATTCGTTAAAAAACTTTTTAAAATTTACAGCTGACGGCTAACTTCAGTATGATATTAATTTATTATCAAAAATGACAGCTGTCAGCTGACTTCAGTTTTATTTAAAGAAAGACACTGAAGTTAGCTGACAAATTGTTTTATTATTCTATATTAATTTAATTATTATTAAAAAAAAAATCTACTTGTGAAGATTAAAAAAAATTATTAGCGAAAATTTTTTAAAGCCTTTTTTATAATAATTAATTTGTTTAACAATTAAAAAAAAATTTGACAGCTATTAGCTGACTTCAGTTTTATTTGAAGAAGATACTGAAGTTAGCTGACAAAAATTGTTTTATTATTTTATATTAATTAAATTATTATTAAAAAAAAATATAAATAAATTCCAGGTGTTAAAAAAAATTATTAAAAAAATTTTCAGCCATTTTTTATTGTGATTTATTATAAAAAATGACAGCTGTCAGCTAACTTCAGTATATTTGAAACTTAAATTAAAGAGTGGGGGAAATCTCGGCTGTTCGAAACTTAACCTAGAATTAACAGTGGGTACAAAGTGTACAAAGCGATAAATAATGTAAAAAAAACTAAAAAAAATCGTAATGAAAGTTAAAAAAGATCAAAATATTATTCTTACATTATTTTCTCCAAAATGTCGCTCCATGTATTATTAATTTGAAGTTCTAATTATCTTCGGCAGCCATGTTGTATAGTAACCTTAAAAATCAGGCATGTATATCTTGTTTGTAATTACTATTGTTATTACGAGTAATGATTTAATTATTATTTATAACAGCGTTAAAAAGAACCGAAAACTGATGCTTAGATATTAAAATAAGTTTAAAGTGAAGCCGTGAAGAGACAAAAATAACGATTTAAATATGTAGTCTTAATAAACTAATATAAAAAAAAAAATAAAAAAAAAAAAAAACAGTAAAGGACAAAATAGTAACTAATTATAAATTTTGTACTGTGTAAAACATGTATGTATTCAGTGCGAAAACATTCTGACCTAGGTGTGTCTGCTTGGTATAGTTTGTTATGTACAACAAAACAAAAATACTCTTCTTGAGGGCCAGTTTTTTAATTGGGGATAAAAATTTATTTGGGATAAAAGTACTGCCAATATAATTAAAAAAAAAAAATAATTCAGCAGTGATATTGCTCTCAGTTCTCCATGAATTTGGTAATTTATTTAAATTAAAATAAATATATATATTATAAAATAAAAAAAACTTCTTGTTGTGTCAATTAAAGTATTTTAAATTAATTAACACAATTATAAATTAAGGTAAAGTACCCAGTACTTGAAATTGGTCCAAACTTTTGACCAGTACGTTGTCAAAATATAAATAATCAATTATGATTGTTATTTTGCGCTTCAATCAATTTAAAATTATTTATATTTTCATGAAAATTATTAATTTCTAATAATTACATTTTTATATATTAAAAGTAGGGTCAAATAAGTTTTACTTTAAAACCTGTTCAACCACTGGGTACTTTAGCTTATTAATATAATTTTTCTTTTTTCACAATAGAAGTATATTGTACCGGATGTATTATCATAATTATCATAGCTTATAGAGAACATTGTTAATTTCGTTTTATCTTCCGACGATGATTCGGATAATAATAATAATAATAATGATAATAATGCTGATAATAACAAAAACTACCTAATTAACAAATTAACAAAACTTCCTTCCTAATCATACGACAAAACTCAACTAGTTCATCGGATTTTATTTTTCAATGTAATACTAAATTGGGTGTCCTTTTTGTGTTTGATATATCTATTATTAATTTATAATTGTGTTAATTAGTTTAAAATTCTTGAATTGACACAATAAGAGGGTATTATTATCCTATAATATATTTATTTATTTATTATTTATTTTAATTTAAATGAATTACCAAAAAATTCATGGAGAACTAACTGAGAGCAATATCACTGCTGAATTATTTTTTTTTTAATTATATTAGCAGTACTTTTATCTCATAGAATTTTATCCTGAATTTCAAAACTGGCCCTCAATCTTTCTTATCTCATTTATCACTTATAATTAAGAAGACTTCACCTTTATTGTCCCTTAAAATATCAATGTATATTTTAAATAACATTTTTTTAAATTAAAATTAAATTTATATTTTTTTTTATCAATAATCTATACTTATTATCGTTTTTAATTATATTAATTATAAGTGTATAACACACCTGGTTATTTTTAGAGTCTCAGTATGGAAAGGATATTTTTTTTCTTTTTTTTTTTACTTAAATAAATAATTTTTTACTAAAATTTAGCATAGACTTTAACTGATCTCAGTTTTCATTTTAAATCTTTCAATTTTAGCCTTTCCATAGTGAATATGTATCTAAGCAAAGGGCTAGTATCTTTCTTACCTTAAAAATAATAATAATAACAATAATAATAATAATAATAATAATAATAATAATAATAAAATATATTACTATTATTAAAAAAAAAAAAAAATTCTTTCTTACCTTAAAAATAATAATAATAACAATAATAATAATAATAATAATAATAATAATAATAATAAAATATATTACTATTATTAAAAAAAAAAAAAAATTAATTTGTATTATTAAAATTATTTATCAACATTTATTTGTTGAATGTACTTGTTTTTAATAATAATATGCACTTTTATTTTTATTCTAAAACATAAGTATGAAAAAAGTGTACCTTTTTATATTAAATGTTAAGTCGCCTTAAATAAATAAAATTTTTTAAAATTTATTATATTTTGTTTTAATCAATTATCCCTATTAATTTACAATTAGTAACATTAATATAATCTATGGATTATTTTTATTTAAAATTAACTATTGTTTTTAACAATAATTAAAAACTTAGAAAAATAATTCATTGTTTTAACATAAAAAATATTTTGTTCAAAGAGTCCTGTGTACAAGGCCAGCTTTTAATAAAATAAATCTTAATTATTCATACAATTAAACAATACTGTACAATGAGTATTAGACTCTAATACATAAAGCTTATTTTTAAATTTAACTTCCAAAACCGGAACTATTTAAAAAATAGTTAAGTATGACCAGAAATCTATTATTTCTTCCCAATAAATTTATAGTTGTATGTATATTTTTAATTACATACAGTTTAATTATAATTATAATAATAATTAGGATAGTAGTGTGTTATATACTTTTTTTGTATATAAATTTATCTATTATATACATAAATTTTGTATGTACAAAGAAAGTTTTATTCACAGACCCATGTACTGAGGAGAAGAGGACAGGTTGTTCCTTGATTTTCTTTCTTCATTGTTTGTCTGGTCGCTAAAATGTAATTTTAAATTTTTCAAGTAGAAATAATTTTGAATTATGGTTTTAAGGATCTTTTCAAGTAATATAAAAATTATTTTATTTAAATTTCAAGTCTTACTAGGTGACTGCTCAAAATTAAAGATTGTAAAGGAGAAAATTTAGACTTGATGATTTTTTGATATTTATGACACTATACATAGTCTGGGTACTTTTTAAATAAATTTTAAAAATAATAGTGCTATCACAGGATCAATTGCTAATTATTTAATGGACAAATGTCACGGAACAAATTTATAGAACCAACAAACTATTAAAAACTCCTCCAAAAATTTTAAATAAAAAATTTTCTAAAAAATATATAAAACCTAGGCACTAATTCTTATGAAGACCTTTCTGATGATACCAAATTAAACTAAAAAAATTCCTTTAAAAATAATAATATGCTCGTCGGAAAATTTTCCTTACTCTTGAAATTATTTAAATCATAAATGACTATCGCTGAAAAAATATCAAACCCAATTTACGATAAAGATATACCCGTTTAAAATTTTTCTTAGTCTGTTAATTATATAAATTAATTTTTGACAAACCACATTGACATGTACAAAACAAAATAAATAAATAAACAATTTTTGTTTATCGCGAAATTCTAATCTATTTATACTTCAAAAAGTTATCATAATAAACTATTTTAGAAAAGGAATTGAAACATTTAAAATGCATTAATTCAAGAAATGATCTAGTATCTTGTGAACTATTGACATTTTTAAAGATATAAGCTCATCCCGATGATATACTCATCAAGACCTTTCATTTGAGTACCCACATCAATTTTTCATATATACATAAATATATGAAAAATTCATGTGGGTACTCAAACAAAAGGTCTTGATGAGTGTAACATCATGATGAGCTTATATCTTTAAAAATGTCATAAGTTGCAAAATACAAGGTAATTTCTTAATTATTGACATTTTTAAAGATATACCCGTTAAAAATTTTTCTTACTCTCTTAATTATATAAATTAATTTTTGACAAACCACACTGACATGTACAAAACAAAATAAATAAATTATCAAAAATAGTTACCCAAAAAATGGCATTAATGAAACCAAAGTTTGCCTGGTAGGCCGTATGGTAAATGCAGGAGAGCATTGAGCCAGTCTTCCTACAACTCTTCTCAGCCACTGTTGTAGTTTCTGCCTTCTTTCTTCCACAAACTTAGCATCTTTGTTCCCGAGAGTTTTCTTCGGTGGGAATTCAAAGGTTGTCACCACAGCATCATGCTTCTTGAGTTCTCGATAGAGAGCGTAGAATTGGGCGTACCGTCGATAGATATTCCACTCAATATCTCTGATCCGTACATAGATCTAAATTATCCAATAAAAATTCAATGTTACTATTAACATCATCAATTACAATAAACATAAAAAAAAATTTAATAAAAATAAATAAACCTGATAGACATGATGAACATCAGAAGCCTGTCCCGTGAGAAAAGCAGAAGGGATCCATATATTGATAAAGCAAGGTTGATCCAAGCTCATATCTTCTTCATTAAGCGGCCCGCGGAGACATTCAAGCTCAGCTTGCAGCCGCTTGACCAAGTTATCACGATTGGTGAGCTGCATAGTCAACCTGGCATATAATATTAAAGTTAGCAGTCATTTGACAATTTCTTAATTTTATTAAAAATTTTTTGCCAAAAAAAATTTAATTTTTAACTTTTAAATCACTAAGTCAATTTTTTTTGCCATAATTTATTTGATAGTAAATTTATTAAAATTATTAAATATAATGCTAAATAATTTTTCATACCTAGCATTAAACTCCATCAGCTCAGCATGCATCTCCGCGACCTGTACCAATTTCTCCTGATACTGTTCCGCCTCGTAGTGATAATCCCTAGCTTGCTCATCATCACCCACCGTGGCATCAGAGTCTCTCCTGAGCATCTGAACAGCAGTGACATACTTCCTCAATTGCTGCCTCAGCAATTCATTTTCTCTATTCAGCGCTTGAAGCTGGACCTCATGGCGCTCTAAATAATTCTGGTGCTGCCGCTGAAAGCGGGCCAGCTGGAGCCGACTTGTGACAGCGTCCTCTTTGGCCTGTTCCAGAACTTCGCCCATAGCAATGAGCCTGACCCTCAAGGCTTCAGTGTCTAATTCACTAGCATCAATATGCGAGTCCAGGCCCAGAGGTTCCGTAGCTTCTACAGCGTTCTCAGTCAGTTCCGTGTCTAAGTAGTTCGGCAAGGTCACCAACATGTCCTCCAAAGTCTGGTCCAATGGCGACACAGGAACCAGTCCACCCATGCTGCCATCTGTCAGAGGAGTTAAGACTCGTTCCTCTTCTGGAGATTCATTCGGACCCCAAGCGACATCTGGCTCCGGAACATCGGCTTTATTAACTTTATTTAAAAAAAAAAAAATTTTTTTCTAATAAAAAAATTAATTTAATAAAATATTTATTTTTAATCTAAAAATAAATATATTATTACCCTGCAGTTCCTGTTCCGGGTCTAGAAAATTGCTAGATGGCGCTGAAGCTTCAGCAAGAACCGCTGGAACTTCTGGAACACCTAGTGGAGAGTTTAAGCAAGTAGGTGGCGCGCTGATAGATTTACTGGCGCTGTCAATCACTCCTCGCTCCTCTTCGTCGTTGTCGAATGATATAATGTGCATCGGTACCTTTCTTCTGACTCTCTCCCGAGTCGCTGGCTCTCCTGAAGAAATTATTGGTTCCGATTGAGAAGCTCTGCATCTATCTATCTGCCGGTCGTCCAGCTCCTCGTTGTCCACCCGGATGGCAAAGACTATCGTTCCCAAGCCAGCTGCCACTGTTGGCAGGACTGAGGATCTTTCTTGGTCGAGGATAAAAGCCCAGTCTTCGTAGAACGGTGATAAGTTTGAGTTGATGATTGATTGAAGGTGCCGTTCGAGGGAGCGCTCGTTTAAGGCGGCTCGCAGCCAAGCACGACCTCGTCCGTAGTCTGAGTGGATGTTACGGAGGACTGAGAATCTTTCTTGCTCGTGCCAGGTTAGTTGCTCTTTTATCGCAGGCCAGAAGGCTAGGTCTGTCTTTGATGATGAACCTGTTACCAGGTCTGATACGTGTCTGGTAAATTTAATTTTTATTTTTTTTATTATTTGTTATTTATTTTTAGATTTTTTTTTTTAATAAACTAGAAAATTGCATTTTTTTTCAAGTTTCTAAAGATTTAATTTTTAATGAAAATTAATTTTTAATAGATATTTTATGATTAAAAAATTTTTTCTACATGTCAAAAATTTATTTAAAAATTTTTAAATTGATCAAAAATCTGCTTAATTAATTTTCATAAATTTATGACATTTGTGTTATAAGTCATTTGACCATCTTTGAAGCTTATTTTTAAAAAATTCATTTTTAATTTTTTTCTAACAAATAAGTTATGATTTGAAAAAATTAAAAATACAATTTTTTGATTAAATAAAAATAAAAAATTGTCAAGTAACTGTTGACCATATTTTAATCTTGTTTTTAAAAAATAAATTTTTTATTTTTTTCTAACAAATAAATTGTGATATGACTGCTAAATTTATGAAAAATTTAGCAAATATTTGATCATTTTTATAACAAATAAATTTATTTATTAAATGTCTATTAATTTCAGTGTAATTAGTAATTTATAAGTAAAATTTAATATTTTAGATTACCTAAGCGCAGAATTAAGCTTGTCAACGGATTTAGACCTGAGACCATGACGGAATATCGACTCAAATGCGTAACAAAGTTTATAAACACACTGATCTGTCTCAGTAGCCAATTCCATGCGACCCCCGAATCTTACGTGACATGCCTTAGCAGCTGATAATAAATCTTCCTGGAGCTTGAACCTGTCCATAACATTAAAGTTAGCAATTTTTTAATTTTTTTTAACAAATAAATTTTTTCCAAAAAATTATTTTAAAAAAATATCATTTTTTATTTTAAAAAATTTTCAATTTTTTTTCTTTTTTTTTTTTCCATAAGGTAAAAGACCCAGTTATTGACACTGGCTTAGTTGTTTGACACTTGCAATTTTATTCTAATGAAAAAAATTAAATGTTTTCAAAAAACCAATTTTCTTAAAATTTATAATTCAAAAATTATATTTATTAATTTATGACTTAAAAATTTTTGATTTTTTTTATTAATTAAATTACAACTAAAAAGATATTTATAAAAAATTGCACTAATAGTATCTAAAGTCTTTTACATGTGACAATTTTTTTTTTAAATTGTTTGATTGAAATTTTTTCAATAAAAAATTTCTAAAAATTTTGAAATGTCGTTTAACTTTATTTTCATCATAAATTAAGGTAAAAGATCCAGTTATTGACACTTGCAATTTTATTTTAATTAA